GCTTTGAATTTATTCAACTCAGTTAAGTGGAACCAGGTCACATAACATGGTTAAGTAAATCTAACATTTCATTTTTTACAGTGCTCTTTCCTGGAGCACAGTTTGGTCATTTTCAAATGAACAGTTGCCATTGTAGTTTTATTTGTTAGAATAATATCAATCTGTCTTGTTGCATTGAGATTTCGTGTCACAGATTTGTACGCTGAGCTTTGTGATTTAAACCCTTTGTGCAGAAGTCATGGTGGGGTTTTGTGACATACCCTGCTGTTAGAAAAGCCACATAAAAAAGGGACTAAAGCTCCTTGGCAGAGTCGACAGGAACCATTTGGTCTCATCCCTCTACTCTAATCACACCGATCTTCCTGCTGTCGTCCCGGTCAGCCTACCTCGTGGATGCCAAAGTGAGCATARGAGTCGAAGTAGTAGTCCCTTGATGTCATTTCCTCCGGGCTGACAAATTTGGCGATCTTGCCTCGTCCGGGACAGGTGGCCAGCGCTGTCACACGAGGCGCGTGAGGGACGCAGGGCGCGTGGTGGGTCGCAGGCACTGGTTTGGGCAGCAGGGAGGGCTGGGCAGACTGGGAGAGGGGTGACATGACAGGCTGTTGCCGCTGAGAAACAGGAAAGAGAAAGATTTAGGTAACATATGGATTATTTTAAATTATGATGCACAGAATGGTTAGGAATTGAATTAGGAATTGAATGTGAGTCATGGGGGGAACCATRTAAGGTGTAACAATGCCGCCTTATAAGAGGAGGGGAGGGTGGAAGCCGGTAAAAGATGCAAGTTCCGGTTCAGCACCGCGGACAGCGAACACACGAATTTGTCCAAAGCGTCCACACATCATCACCTAAACATAAAWGGCTTTAAAGCCCCACATGATCCCCTTCATTCTTATAGCACGAGGCTGCTCGCGCGCCTCCAGAACACCTGGAGGACACCGGCAAAGGCACAGCCTTTACAACACAGCACTCACAGCCGCAGAAATAATTAAAAAAACAAACATTTTAAGTCAAAACTGGGCTAATAAAAGAAATAAAGATGTAAAACAAGACAGTGGTCGTCCCGGACCCCCCCTAGATCTGGGCCACAGGACACCACAAGGTCCCCCCACCCCTTACCTCCGAGCTGTCCGCCTCCGCCATCTTCCGCCGCAGCAGCAAACAACGCGACGAATGCCCGAGTCCCATGAGAGCCGGCGAGATTTCAGGCTCCCAACTCTTTCAAACTGCTCCGAAGGAGAAAACGTGCCAGAAACGACACAAAGTCCCGGGATGTGTGACCGCTGGAGTCGTACAGATGAAAGTCATAACGAGAAAAAAAAATAGAGACATTAACTGTATTTGGAGAAAAAGAAGAAAGAAAAAGTTGTGAAGTTGTAAAATGAATCCGCGCGAGGAGGAATGCTCGTTAGTGTCAGCTGGTACAGGTTGTTTCAGCTGCAGGACTCCGTGTCTCATGGGCTGTCGAGGCAGGAAGGTTGAAGGTTTGATGCCAGAGTCGGTGGTGGGGGGGAGAGTTGCTGCTCGGTCCCTCGGTCTTAACAAAAAATGCAGGAAACAAACAAATAAATAAAATTTTAAAAAGAATCCAGAAACTAACYCTTACTTCTCCGTTTCTTCCACTTCTTCAACGCCCTCATGTCCAAGAAATCCTCAGACACCGCGGAGACAAAAAGGAGAAAAAAAAAGTCTCGCCGTTTTTCACCTCTTCCTGCTAATGGAAGTCCTGCTGGGGAAGAAAAATAACTAAAAATGCTCTGTGAGTTAGTGATGCCTGCAGCTGAGAAGAAGAAGAAGAAATGATGCCTCCTTGTGCCAGACTTCCCCACAAAAATGAGCCCACGCGTGTTCTCGGGATGTGGAAGAAGAAGAAATCTTACCTTTTTTTTTTAATTTTGTATGCGCGTATTTAACCTCTGTTTAAGCAACATATTCAAAATAAAACATGGACTATTAAAGGCCTTGCATTTCTGAGAGGAATGCATATCGCCCGCCACCTTTTTGCCACTTTTCTGGAATTATTCAAATCATTTATAGACTATAGTACTCAGATAAAGGCATAAAGCTCATTCGTTTTAATATTTTGCCACAAAAAGCACAAGCTCAGAACAATATAAATTACAAAAAGAAACCTAAAAAAGAGACGAAACTTTAACTCAGTTAGATCAGCCAAAAAATACTGTTCATGAACTCAGGCTTTAAGACTAAACCTGTTGTTTCACACAGTCAAAAATTACCACCTATATTTTTGTTTTGTTTAGCATTTTTTTAATAGGAAAAAAACAACTATTTTTCAAAGTCAGTTTTTCACATATGATTCATACATTTATAAATGT